TATCCTACTTTTCTAGGTACTTCTGCACCACTCATGGTGAATGAGGCATTTAAACCAATGCAAGGTATTATTAAAAAAATGAAAATTACAAAGATAAAAGGGAGCGTATGAAAAAACAGGTATAATAGATTAAAATGTCCATATTTCATAGTAAATAAATAGACTTTCTATTTTATTCAGGTATATATGCATTCAATTTTCTACATTTCGTAGACCATATAAGTTAACACATCAAATATTTCTCAGTTGTTAGTGAGCTTCTCCTTCAGTCATTTAACTCCGGCAAGCATACCCACAGTATACAGTACTATGGATTTTAAATGGATTGTAGTATTCTTTTAATATTTCTGTTGCCCTGTTGTATTTTGTATCATATATAAATCTATAATTCAGAGGACAAAAAGCTCTATATATCTAGATACCTGCCTATCATATGGAATATAGAATAACAGAATTGGAAGGGATCTTGGAGGTCTTCTAGTCCAACCCCCTGCTCAAGCAGGAGACCCTATAACATACTAGACAAATGGTTGTCCAATATCTTTTTACCTACAAGCATTCCCCCTTCCCCAGATCCCACAACTTCTGGAGGCCAGCCATTTAATTGGTTGTTTTAATTGTCAAGAAATTTCTCCTTAATTCGAAGTTGGATCTCTCCTCAATAAGTTTTCATCCTTATTGTCTTGTCCTCAGGTGCTTTGAAGAATAGATTGACTCCTTCTTCTCCATGACATCCCTCCAAGTACTGGAAGAGTACAATCACCCCAGTCTTTCTCTTTGTTAGATTAGACATACCAGTTCCTGCAACCATTCATGTTTTAGTCTTTATCCCTGTAATAATCTTCGTTGCTCTTGGCACTCTTTCTAAAGTCTCAACCAAAACTGGACACAGTATTCCAAGTGTGGCCTTAGCAAAGTGGAATAAGCTGTAGTAACATGTCACATGACTTGATAATATCCTTCTGTTGATACATCCTAGCTGCTTTTTTGGCAGCTGCAGCATACTGCTGGTTTATATTTAAGTGTTCATGTTTGTCAAGATCCTTCTGGATCTTCAGTTTATCTTCTGGCATGTTGGCTATTCCCCACCTTGGTGTTGTCTGCAAATCTGATTATTTCCTCTTCTATCCTCTCCTCTAAGTCATTTATGAAGATGTAGAAGAGTACTGGGCCTGACAGAACCTTGGGATACCCTACTCCATGCTTCCCTCCATGTAGATATAGTTCCATCTATGTGTTGAGTGTGGTTGGTCAGCTAGTTACAAATTCATCTGGTAGCGATGCTGTCTATCTTGCATTTTTCTGAAGTAGATTGTTATATACTTTGTCAAATTACTATCTACAGCATTTCACTAGTTGACTAATTTAGTTACTTTGTCAAAGAATGCAATAAGGTTTGTCTCGCATGATTTCTTTTTGACAAAGCCATGTTAATTTCTAGTACCAGCTTTGCTTATTTACAATAATTTGCCTCAGTTATATGATGCTGGGAAATGCACAAAATAAAAAACAAAGGAATTATACTACAATCAGTGCAATATACAAAAAAGTGAAAACAAATAAAATTTTGTGTATACAGCTTTTTATTTTCCCTACAGCTCAATTAGGTACATTATTCAGAATCAAGTAAACTTTCTCTCCATTGTATAATATGGCAGCGTTCATCTACCTTCTCCAACAGCAGCTCTGGTTAAGGTTTTCCATTTGTGAAAATAGAGCCAAGTTTAAAAGTTTTTTGAAATACATATTTGCTCTTTGCCTCTAAAGTTGCTTTCAGAAAAAAAAGAAAATGTTTTAAAAAAACCAGAATTCTGAATTTTTAAAAAGGCTTTCCTTGTGCAATCTGATTGCATGAATCTTTATAACCCTGTGGAAAAGGCCCTTTAGGTTGAACATGACAGAACTAGAATTAGCATGTTAATTTTTACTTATTTTATTACATTTGTATCCCACCACACCAAACTCAGCTCTAAGTGGTTATTCCCATGCTAAGGTTTAAAACATAAAGCAAAGTTTCACAATGAAATAAGAACAAACAAAAATAAAAGCTGCACTGAACAGGTTTAAAAAACTTTCATGAAATTCCATGTTCAACAGCTTCCTGAAAGCACCAAGGAGGATATCAGCTTGAGGTTGTTGTTCCATGGTCTTGCCACCAAAAAACCCAAAACCCATAGCTTCCTTGCTTCAGCTCTTTTATTTCCTTATGGTGAGGCACCAGGAATATTTTCCCTAGATGATCCAATAGGGCAGGCCAGTGCAGATTGGAACAGACCATCCTATAGATACCTAGGTGCCAAGTCATCAAGGGTTTTACAGCACAAATCAGCATTTCAAAGAGCTGGTGATCAGTGCTCTAATTAAATTGAAGAGTCACAAACTAATCCACGGGGTGGATCCTCTTAAGCCTAAAACAAGTAACATATACAGAGCCTAACTCGATCCTGATTTCTAAGGAAATGTGATTGAACTCTGGGAAGTTCAGTCACATATGAGGGACTGAAGCGTATTAAAGTAAAGCTAATAGGACCTGCTTCCAAGTTAAGAAAAAATTCCTAACATTAAGTTGTCAGTGCATCAGATTTAGCACAAAGGTTCAAAGTTTAATAGATTACCATGATTAATTATTGTATGACAATTTGGAGTAGTGGTTAAGGCACCAGGCTGCAAAGCAGAAGACTGTGAATTCTAGTCCTACCTTAGGCACAAAGCCAACTAAGTGGCCTTCAGCCAGTCACTCTCTTTCAGCCTAAGAAGCAGACAGTGATAAACCACTTGTGAAATATTGCTAAGAAAATTATAGAGCTAGTCCAGACAGACCTGGAATCACATAAAAAAAGTTAATTATGTGCAGTAGTAGATTATAAAATGCCAGCTTACTGTTACATATTTTGCAAAGGGAACCATAAAAAGGTCACTTGTGTTTTGTATGTCAAATGGAGAAGAGTCATGCACAACTTTGAATTCTGATTTTAGGTCACTTGTTCAAGTCAAATAATTTGTCTATATTTTTTTTTATTCAGTCTTGAGATTTTTGCAAAGTATAGATAGGATATTTCCCATCATGGTCCAAAAGGATTTCATTTCTTGATTATCCATCCATGACTTATTTAGATATCACTTGCTGATAACAATAATTTGGGAGAACTGTGGCCGGAATGCATTTCTTATAGATTTCTTGAAATATTTGAATAGCCTATGGGAAATCAGAAACAGAGTACAGAATTGGCCCATTGATCAATTTTAAAATTGACACTTCTTAAATAGTTTCCAAGCTTTAAAAACTTGCTGTTTTTTAAGTTGCTTCTAGTAAAATTACATATATGTTATAATACTTCTAGATCCCTGTCTATAATGAATAATTAGAGCTAGAAGATTTGCTTTATATTGTAAAAATCTTATTTAAAAATAACTTTATAGAAAATCTTGCAACCCAAATAAGATTATTTTAATAGAACTGCTATAACAAGAGAGATATTAAAATAAAAAAGGATTTGTAATTAAAATCTTGGATTTCAACATCATGTTTTGCTACAATTTGCTTTCCTGGGTTTTCTTGACTAAACAACATTGGTTTGTTTGATTGGATGGCTTAGTGTCTATACAGAATAGAAGCGGTTGTAAACTTCCAAAAACCCTATGAGGTCTCCCTGATGCCAGCCAACATTTAAGTACAGGTAAAACCTAATTAGCGTACTTTGGTAGTTTCCAGAATTCCCCCCCCCTTTTTTTTTCTCCCCCCAAGACTTAGATTATATCCATAGCCAATACAAGAGCTCATTCCTATATGCAGGAAAGTTAGAATGGATCATGATTTCTAATAGCGGCACTTCTTCATTAATACCTTTTCTATATGACCAAATAAGTATAAAGTCATCGCATGCAAAGCATTCAACAGTTCTGTATTATTTTTAGAAACAGCATGTTAGAAAAGGTATGGGTGGGTCCTGTTGTACTCTTTTCTTATTGGAAGCCTTATTTATTAGGTTCCATCTTTACAGCATGTAATATAATTCCTAACGCCATAAGCATCAGATTGGCCACCAGGAAAACAGAATGCAAACTTTTGCTCTGATCCAGCATCGCTCTTCTTAAATTACCACAGCACACTATATACAGAAATTAAAATGTTAGTATAATTCTCTTACTATTTAATCACAATACAGTAGAGTTCTTGGAGAATGTCAGTTTGGTGTAGTGGTTAAGGCATCAGGTTAGAAACCAGATGGGAGTCAAGTGAAGCCTTCCTAAAGCCAGCAGGACTTGGGCCAGCCGTTCTCTCTCAGCCCCAGGAAGCAGGCAATGGCAAACCACTTGCAAAAAAAAAAAAAACCTTGCCAAGAAAACTGCAGGGACTAAGTCTAAGGCGCACACACACACACACAAACATGTCATTTACACTATTAAATAATGCAGTTATTTCAATACAGTACTACAGAAATGACAGTCTTCCTTCCAGTGGAACCTAAGGCAGTTTGAAAGGAACCACACTGAAACTGTCAGAAGAAACCTACTTATTCAAAACGGTCAATTACAAAAAATGGAAAAGAGGTCCGTAAAAGCCGTAAAACCGATGTTCTAATCCCATTCATCTAGTTATTAAGCCCCACTGAATAGAGAACGCAGCCTTTCGGAAGCCCTACACGAACGTTGGACCTCCTCGCCCATGACCCCCAGGCAAGGGCATGGAAGGTGGGCTGGCTTCCAGAGCTGCTTTCCAGAGCTAAGCCGTTCGCCGTCCAGCCGGATGTCACTGGCGTCTCGCCCCCGGTCCCACATTAAAACTTTCGCGCCCTTGAAAGGCAGCGGCTGCTTGAGGGCGCCGCTGGGGGTCGCTCGCCTCCCCTTCGCGCGAACCTCGCCTGCCGCAGCGGAGGTGTGGAGCTGAGGCGGCGGCTGCGGCGCGGCTCCGCCCCGAACCGGGCGACTCCCGACCGCGAGGTTATTGCCACGCCCCCTGCTTCTGTGAGGCGGGGAGGGGCGTGGCCGTCCTTGCTGCAGGCTGAGTTCCTCGGGAACAGGCTGCTTTTCGGAGGAAAAAGCCGGACGGATTCCAGCCTGAGCGGGAGCCTCGCAGCGCGACTGAGAGCGAGAGCGCTAGCTGGGAGTTGGGCAGCCCCAGGGAGCTGTCCCGCTTTTTCTCTCTCTCTCTCTCTTTTTTTCCTCGCCGCTTGCGAGGATCGAGAGGCGCATCTGGACGGAGGCGGGGATTGCCTAGAACGAAAAAGGTGCGGAGAGGCGCCGTCCCGCTTGGGCTCCTTGGCCAGATTTGCTTTTGTGGTGTGGATGGTCGCGCGGGTGTCCTGCTTTTCTGCGCTCTTCAGGTGCTCCGATTGCGGGGCTGCCTGCGGCTTGCTCTCCTGGTTGCCAAAAGAGGGGCTGGTGGGGGGAGGCGGTGAGAGATGCATGGTGGTGGGCACAGAGGGGGCTTTGGGGTGGGAACTGGGGGATTTCAGGAAACTAGTGGCCACAGAACGAAGATTTGGCGCCAGAAAGCGGGGGAGGAGGAGGAGCAGGGACGATGTCTCGGAGCCTTCTGGGTTAAAGGTCTTGCTAAGAGGCAGCGCTGGCAAAGGAAGCAGAAAGCTGCAGTGATTTAGGCAGGGACTTTTGGAATAACGAAGGGGACGACTTTGCAGAAGAGGGGAGAGAAGGGGGTTTGAGGGGAGGAAGAGCAGGGGACCGCCTAGACTGAGGACCGTCTTTATTCTGCGGTACATGGGCGACAATTAAGCTGGTGGGCAGGAAACAGGAGATGGAATGGCATAAAAACCTTGCAGGGCTGACGAATGGGTTTCAGGAATGCAAGATGGGATCCAGGGAGAGAGGATGGGAATAGAGAATTGGGGGGTGAAAGAGGAGGGACAGGGGCTGAGTATATGGGGTGGTAGGGAAGACGTAGGTAGGTGGTTTGGATGTTAGAAGAGCAGGTGAGATCTGGAGGGACAATTTAGAGTGCATTTCCTGAACGTTTAAGTGAAGCTGGAGAAGAAACATGGTGCAAGGATCTACACTTTTCTGAGAGGAAGGTTGCAAGCTGTTTGTGATTTTCTCCAGGGAAAGTTGGATTTGGATTACAGTAGTTAGTTCTCAGGTGTCCTTTTCTTGCCTGCCTGGTCTTTGTTTAGTCTCAAGGACACTGTGTGTGTGTGTGTTGTGTGTGGTGCCTGCAGAGGGATTGAAACCAGATTCTAGGATTTTAGATTTCAGTCTGTTAAGCCCTGAAGCGATTTAGGGTGTGCTTCCAATTTTTGATCCTTACAGTCGCTTTGTTCAGGATGTCTGTGCTTGGTTGGGGATTTGTTTTAGTAAAATCCAGAGGTAACAATTTAGTTGCAACAAGTTCTCTGTTGGCTGAGCTGCAACATGGCAGTGAATAAAGTTGCTGCTGCTGGCGGACTCTGTATTTTGCCTCTGTTTTGAACTGCTATTATCAAGTTCTTTGCAAACAGAAACTCCATTCAGTAAATAGTTGTTCACAATGACTTCTGCAAGCCTATCCTTGAATGGGGGTGCAATTGTGACAAAACGCTTACCTGTTTTTTGTGTCTCTTCCAGAAGTTCAAGCCTTTTCCTTAAGAAAGCAAATATATAATTTCTTCCTATTGCCTTTCTCATTGTATCCAGATATGCACACACCTCTAAAGTGCAGCTTTTTTACATAGCCCACTGGGTCTAGTTCTATTCATTATCTGAGAAAGGATGGTTACCCCACATGTGAGGGGATGTCTGTCAAAAGGAATTGAGGTGTCATTGTTCCTTAGTTGTGTAGTAACACTATTGTGAGAAAATTTTCCAAGCGCTCTCTCATTCTGTTCCATCCACAGAAGAATTTAAAAGATTAAGACAGGCTTGCAATTAAGTCAGTAAAACTTACATGCCCATCTGTTCACACTTGTGTCATCATTTAGTCCATTGTGCCTTCCTATAAGAGAATCAACTACTCTTCATTTTAAGAAGATTTCCCTAAAGACTATTATTGTTTTAAGAAGACTGCCAGATGATTTATAAGCAATTTGTTTATCAAAAACATCTAATCACGATCTGTATTAACCTCCTTTAAATTGTTTCTGCTTGGGGCTCTGCTTGTTTTCTCTTTCATTCAGTTGGTATCTTGTCTTAACTTAGTGGAAATTCATGGATTGAAATTTCTTGCATTAGTGTCTCAAGCTAGGGATGTTGCAGACATCCCTGGGAAATGAATAAGGCAGTAATGAAACATTTCAACTATATTTGTGACAAATTAGTAAAGGGGAGAAGTTGTAGATCAGGGAAAGTAAAGCAATCAATTTATCACTTGTAAAGAGGATTTGTAGATGGGTCTTTGCTATTTATTTCATCACAACTGTAAGATGAGTTGGGCTGAGAAAGAGAGGCTGTCCAATGCTAAATCAGCAAGCTGCACCAATTTGAACCAGCATCTCCTTGATCCAAGTCCAGTACCTTAACATCTATGAAATGGGTCTCATTTTATTTGCTTTCCCACCATTCTTCATTGACAAATAAATCTTCTGTTTATCACTACTGTGATATTGGAAGAGGGTTCATGAGGCTACAAAAATGTGCTTGAGAGCTACAAACCTACCATAATTTTAAGGGAAAACGCATTGTGAATTTATGTGTGAAATATTTGGTTTATATTATTTGATTACCTAATGCAATTTGAGTAATCAGTTACATTTATAAAGAAGAGTTGCCAAAACATATTAACTTATAGTTACATATGCATTAATATATATAACCATCATATTATTCATTTTTGAGGTAAGCAACTTTAGACAAAGCAGAGAAAAAGAGTATAGTAACTCAGAAGGATTGAAGCATAAAATATCAGATCAGATGAGCCTGAGCCTGCTAGCCTTTTGTAAAGCATTGGATGTACTTCAGGTCCTAAGGGTCAGGAGGTCGGATGGCCTATTGAGCTGTCTCTCTTAATTGTTTTGTTTGGGTTTATGCTTAGTGACCATTGTAGGTTTTAAAATTATTTGTACCTTATGTGTGTATGGATGTATGGATGTGTGTATGCATAAATATGTCTGTGTTTGTGTGCATGTGTGTATATGTAAACACATATCAGCTGCCCAGAGTCACACAAGTTGGGCAGTCATATAAAAGGAAGGAAGGAAGGAAGGAAGGAAGGGAAATTTAGTTCATACTAAATACTCATTATTATTATTTTTATTTCTGAAAACCATTCCTGCTTCTGCAGTTCTCATTCATCAATTCATACATTGTTTCTGGTTCCTTAAAATCATTACCTTTCTGAGGGGCGCAGTGGCTCACATGGTAAGACGCTGGACTTGAGCACCGCTGAGGTTGGCTGCTTGGTGGTTTGATTCCTGTGAGCGAATAAACTGTGCAGGGACAAGAAAGGAGCCTCCCCAGAATGCCTACTGGCAGGTAAAAATAACACCACCTGAAAATATTCCTTTCACAGAGGTAGCCAGCCACCTCGTGATCCCTGGCTATCACGTGTCATATACTAAATAAATAAATTACCTTTTTCTTTTTGAAGAACTCATAAATACCATCCAGCCACAATTTCTGTCTTCTTTTTATTCATTCAATTTGCCTTCATTTTCTTAGCTCTCTGATTTGATTCTCATTCATTCTCACCTCAACATCTTTTTTTTGTACTGGCTACTTATTGTTTAATTCAATTTAGATTAATTTAGAAGTCATTCATTCCTGATGTTATCTCTTTGTTTTGCAATGCATATTTCTCAAGTGACCCATTCTAATTGCATTCAGTTTTATGTTTTTCCTGTTATAAATTAAGTCTCATTTTCATAAAACTGGTTGGCTGTATTAAAAGCACAGTATCATTTGAATACAGATGATCTGGCCAGTAAATGTTCAGCTCCATTCAGTCGCCCCAACTCTATCCCAAATCAAGGGATTACACGGTCATAAAAAGAAAAAAAAACATATTCTTCCTGTACACAATGATTGATATTGAAATATTTGCTAGGAATACCATTTATTCTTACCCTTGCTTTACATCCACTATTATACCACTCTTGTCATATTCAGCACAATCTTCAATTCCATGCTTACCCACACACAAAAAATATTGAAGCCATTCACTTTATCAGATGCTTTCTCTAAATCAACAATCATCAACAAAAGTAGATTTACTTTCTCACATTTATCCATTTCTTATTTAGCTGCTAAATAGCAAAAATTGGGTCTACACATTCCCTACCTAGCAGAAACTCTTACTTTACTTAGTGTGCAAATTTTGCTTCTTGGCATTTTTTAAAACCTTGCAGTCAGAATTTTTCCCAACACTTTCCCAGGCTCCATTGACAAACTATTCCTTCTTAGTGTTCTGCATTTAGTTCTGCTACCTTTGTGTAGGAGAATAATAGCACCATTCTTCCAATCACCAGGCAAAGTATAGTCTTCACATGCTTGTTAAACAAGTTGCACAACCACCTTGTGAACAAAACATCCACATGTTAACATTTCTCCAATTACACTGTCTATACTTTGAGTCTTTCAATTGTTCATCCTTATAGAATATATGATTTTCTTTTCACAAACATTTAGATATTTATCTCAATTCTAATTTTGGATTTGTCACTATCATTTCTATTCAAATCCCCGATGGACACCTTCTCAGTATTCTTTCACTTTACTTTTACCCAAATATCTCACCTCTTTGTTTTTAATTTCATTCACTCAGCTGTAAGATCATTCTTACTCCTTTTCACTCATGTCTTGCTTCTTCTAATCATTAGTTGCCTGCCTTCTCTACATTGTTTGCAATTATCCTTCTATAGGCAAGAAATAAAAAGATGGTTGCAAAGAGTGATCCTTGTCAGCAATTCATTTCAGTTACAGTATAATGGGAAGGATAAATAAGCCTTCACTGCTTATTTATTTTATAGGAAAGAGCAGTTAATATCCTTTTAGCCTCAGCTCATGAAGATCTTCTAGGTTAGCTTTCTGCTATAGTTTTACTCTAAATATTATGGATTAACTTTTGTTCTGAGACAGTGATTGTTATTGTGTTCTGTAAAAAGCTGTTTCTCCTGCAATGTAGTATACAGTAAAGAAGGTAGTGCCCTCTTAATAGTATCATAGATTGTAATGAGACTTTTAGATTATCAAGGCCAATACTTTGCTCAGTGTAGAAATCTAAATTTAAGCATTACTGTCTACCTCCCCTAAAACATCCAAGAAGGGAACCTATCTGTCCCCAGTGATTGGAATATTATCCAGT